CGGCGACCCTATGGGACAGGGTAGAACTGTCCGTGTGGGTCTCTGAGATGGTTCAAGGCAGCGGAGAGCCTCTTCTGGGGAGCAGGCACAAGCTTCTTGCTTACTAAGAATCGGGGGAGCAAATCAGAGAGGGCCTCCCAGTTCTCTGGACATCCACACCCAGCATGTTTGCCGCTGAGCGATACAGAACGTTAAAACATTCTGAAGAGACGGTGGGGGCAGGACTCATCGTCCAATTGGACCACGTGCAGGGAAGTGAGGTTACAACCACTCAACTCAGCAGCTTCTATGGATGCAGGTCTGAGAGCTGGAGCACCTCCTTTGAGGAACACCCCACTCTCGCTCTCCGTTTCGGAGTCCCCCTCCATTAACGTGAACTCACGGCCTCCCAAGGTCCCTATCTCAGCTCTCAAGAGTTGCTATGGTCAATTTGATGCCTCAGCAATCGTTTAGGAAGAGCCGAATGGTCCAGGCAGACCTTTCTGACAAGCTAAGCTAAATTCCTGCTTGGTTTTCAGAAGACTTCAGGGACTCTGAGAGCCCTGGCAGAGCTGTGGAGTAAGTGCTAGACTGCCGACTGCAAATCAGTGGTTCAAACCCACCTGCCGCTCCGAGGGAGGACATTGAGGCTGCGTGTTCCCCCAGAGATTTATAGTCTATTTCACCAAGCATGACGTCCAAACAGCCAGCATACATATGAAGAAATAAGTGCTCGCCATGACCAGCCACCTGGGAGATGGAAATCAAAACAACAATGAGAGCTCACCTTACACTGATGATCCAGCCAAGTACCCCCCACCCCCCACACACACCCCAGAACCTGACAAATGCTGGAGGTTGGTGGGACTGCCAATGTACAGTGCCAGGAAGTGGTATGGTGCCACCTCAAACACCTGGGAGTACAAGTGCCATAGGAGCCAGCAATCCCCCGGCTGGGTCTCCAGAAGTGAGAGTCATAACACAAACAGATGTCTGCACACCCACGGTCGCGGCACTGTTCACAATAGCAAGAAGACCGAAGGAACCTAAACGTGGTCAGACAAAGAAACCCTGGTGCGTCCACACAGTGGAATACTATGCGTCAGTGGGAAACGAGCCCAGGAAGCACCTCATGACATGGATGGGTCCGGAGAACATGGTGCTAAGTGAAATCGGCCAATCACAAAAGGACAACCATTATAGGTGACCGTTGCTAGAAGGGCAAATAAAACAAGGTGAAAAGACCAAGGGAGCCCACTTTGGAGATTACCAAGGGGTGGGGGGAGGCCGGGGAGGCCAGTGATGGGTGGTCACTTGGAGGACATGGAAGACAGGCCATCCCATAAGGAGGAGAGGAAAAATCCAAGAGCAGGGAAGGGTAAACTATTGAGGGAGAAGGGGGCTGGTTTGATCAGTAGTTGAAACTGTTGAATACAATGCTGATGGTTTGACATGGAAGCTCCCACTTAAATTACAATAACATTTTGTTTAAAAAAAGAAGAAAGAAAAGATTTACAGCCTGGGAAATCCTATGCCGGCTTGTAGTGACCCTGTAGTAAACACTGTGAGTTGGTATAGACTGGATGGTGCAGTGGGTTTCAAGGACTATCTCTGGTTTAAGATTTAAAGGCTGTCTGGTAATGTCGTCGGGCATCCATCCAACCTCCATGGCTCCAGAAAGTCTGGAGTTGATACGAATTTGAAATTTTATTGTGCGTTTTCTCCCCTTTGCCAACAACTAGTTGGTAATCGTTGTCCCATTTTTGGGACCCGCAGCTGGTGGCACTTGGACAGGGTGAGGCGCCCCTGTCCCACCTCTGTGACGCATCTCTTCCTTCTGTCTTCCTACGTTTTCTCGTCATCATCTCTGTCACCAACTGTCTTACCCCATCTTATCGCCCCACTTCTGTGGGCTCTCACGGATGTCACTGCATAACATTTTGTATGACACTTTCGACATGTACCCTCTCCCCTTCATCGCTGTGTTCTGGAGCACTCAGTCTTATGCGAGCCTCGCACGCTCCCAGCCTCTGCGTTTGGGGAGCTCACAGCGCCGGAGTTTGCAGGGTTTGGCACTACCCTCTGAGAGGTGACACGGGACCACTTTGTTTCTCTCTCTGGATCCAGCTCCCTTCCTGCGCTTCAGATCCCTTCCTGCCCAACCCCACTCGGCATCCTCCTCTGAGCTCATTGTGCCCTGAGCCTGGGGTCTCTTCCATCAACAGGCCGCTCACGACCCCAGGTAATCAAGCTGATGGCAGAGCGGAGGAACGTCTCTCCTTGCCTGCAGATTAATCTTGCGTGTGTGCATGCGTGTGTGTGTGTGTGTGTGTGTGTGTGTGTGCGTGCAAGCCCCAAGCCTCTGACACACTCTGCTCTGACCTGCAAAAGGAGCCAGGAAGCCAGCTCTTTCAGGCAGCTGAGGGGTTCCGTCCTGTCTTGGGGCTGGGGAGCCATGTCCAGCCTTTCCCCACTCTTGCCAATCCTTGAATTCTCAGAAGCAGATCCTATCTGGCAGGGTGGGAGGTGGGTGGCCCCCAGCCTGACCACCCTCCCCACCTGCCGCCCCTGCTCTTTGCCTCCTCTTCTGCTCCCAGGGCCCAAATTGTCGTCACTTTCCCGGTGAAGTGTCTGGTCATCTTCAGAAGCAATTGCCAGGGAATATGCAGCTGCTGCCTCCTCGGCCGCTGCTCCCTCCCCAGGGCTAACGGCACTGTCAGCCCTCTGGGTGGTGGGGTGGACAGAGGGCATGCTCATGGCCATCGGAAGCTAGTTCATGGAAGGGGGGGTGGCTTTCTCTCTCTCCTCTCCTCTTCCGAAGCCCGGCGGCATCTCGTTTCATCCCCTGCTGTATCCAGGGGAAAGCCCTCCCCACCTTGATGCCCACCAGTGGGCCTCCGTCGCCCGTGGGAGCAGCCTGAGCCCCGCAGCCCCCCTCCCGCTCCCCCGCCAGTCCAGTATCTTCCAGGTGCTGCAGGGCCACAAGCTACACCGGACTCGCCGCACGTGGAGCGGGGTTGGCAGCTCACCTGGCACCGGCTCTAGCTCCGCCTCAGCCCTGTCTCTGAGGGGCGCTCTGGTTCTTTGCTCTGTGGACTGTCTCCCAGCTGCAGGGCTCGGCAGGACACTGAAGCTGCGATCCTCCCACTCCGTGTTAGAGCTTACGCGCTGAGCACTGGGTTTGTGGATGGCTACGGTGGGCAGTGGGCGCCCTCAATCTGTTGTGAGCCTCCGCAGCGATTCAAGCCTTCATCAAGGTCCTGACCACTGACCACACTGACCAGGGGGTGTGGAGGCAGAGTGTGTTTGCAGCGACTCCTCTGCTGGGCTAGTGGGCTATGGATTGAGTTGTCGCCTCAGAAGAAAGACGAGGCTCCCGTAAAGATTTAGCGTAAAGATTTAGCGTGAAGATTTAAAGCTCAGTCTCAGAAGTCCAGTCTCAGTTCTCCCCTGTCCTCACTGCCAATGAGTCAAGGCTGACTTCTATAGCACCCGAGGGGCTGGTGGTTTTGAACTGCTGGCCACCAGGGATCCTCCGTCCTTATTCCGACCTGATT